CTGCTGAACTGGAGAGCGGCAGGTAGCGTGAGGAAGTAGGAGCCGCTTCTTCATGTATAAGCCTTTTTCCAAAAAATCACAGCTCCGAGTCCTGCTGCACGCCTTTCAAAATCCCCCCCTTTGCAGTTGGAAGTAACCAAGTCAGAGGCTTTTGATTCCAGCACCAGATGATACGTCTTTTCGAAACCCAATTTCTTCAGGACTCAGCCTCCAGCTCTAAGTAATTTACACCGACTTAGCTATCAATCAAGGATGCTTATTCTAGACTCAGGATACTTGTTCATTACAGCACAGTCATTCTGAGGTTGCCTTTTCTACGGCAACATTTATAGGAGCAGGCCGTCCGTCCCTCCGTCTGTCTTCCCCAGGAACTGCTGATCCATGGCTGATTTCAAATACTGTACCACAGGGCATGACAACTGGTGAGGAAGCAGAGCAGAGCACCCTACTCGTGGAGATCCCTCTCCTTCGACGACGCAGACCTTTTTTTCTCTACTTGCAAAAGCCGTGCTTAAAATCTCCAGCTGCAGGTAAACGCAGACCTTTTTTTTTCTCTACTTGCAAGAGCCGTGCTTAAAATCTCCAGCTGCAGGTACAGAAATGTTGATACTGCAGCCAGAAGGGCTATCATAGCTATGCATAGGCTGACTAACTTCTACAAACCCTGAAGGTATTTCAGTCATTTCATCTGTTCACTGGAAGTAATTTGGATGATTTATTACTGATGCCCCCTTCAAACACATTATCACCTCCAAGTGCCTGGTTATCCTTGTGCTTCATCTCCAATGAGAGCTTGTAATGAGGGGCTTGCACTGGTTTGCTATGGGAGCAGGTAACACACCATTAGAAAGGAACTACTATATTTACCTGCAGGAAAGCTTTCCTCTGATGTTTTGACCAGTGCCCAGTTGAAGGAAGAGGGACACCGTGCCTCAGAGTGAGTAAATGGGAACGGAGACGGGGTGGGGGGGCTTATGCAGTCATTCACCATCTCGGTTTATCGCCTGGTCAAGTGAGACCCAAACCAGGTCAGGATCAAAGGCGTCAGCATCTCCAGTATGGGGGACCGGCTACTGGTTTGGGGGTACAAAGGGTCCGATTTCGAATGGGAATAATTCCCAAAGTGGACTTGGGCTATACAAGGTAGTGAGAGTTTCCAAGCCCAGATTTTCTCCTGTGAGCACAGCTCAAGAATGTAAGGTTACACATAAATCAGTCAGAAAGGCTGCAACGTGCTGCTCTTATTGCCCGCTGGCTTAGCCAGGGCTAGCAAAGCCTCTGGAGTGGATGTAAGGTTGCCAGGGGAAGAAGTGAGCTGTTCCTTCTCATTTCTGTTCATCCTTCCTACGGACTGGCGACAGCTTTCTTTTGCCTTCTGGAACCGAAGTTTGTATCGCCTCTTAGCTGTCTTGAGTCAGACCTGGCTCCAGCTAAGGCTGATTTCAGAGTAACCTGGACGTTCACCATGGCCCAGCCGCACTGAGCCGCATGGGTGCCCCGTCACCCGCTCTTCAGGGAGGGCTGGTGATGGCCCCAGGGGCTCAGAGAAGCCCCTCCACAGCCTGCAAACAACGGAGGTGCATGCCTGAAACTCCGGAGCATCAGGGGTGGGTGCTGCGTTAGGACATGCAAAGGTAAGGGGGAAAGGTCAAATTCCCTTCTTGAAAACAGCAGCTGCTCACTGCAGAGACGAAGAAAGGGGTTTTTGCTCCATTAGGTGAACTGCAAGATTGCACAGGTATTGAGATAATGGCTTTTTTGCCATCCTTTGAAGCTGCGTATTGGTCTGGAAGGAACAATGGTCCAACCTGGTGTAGTAAATCATATGGTCTTGTAAGTACAGCAGTAGCCGGATATAATTTCTGCTAATGAGAGCAGGACTCTGCTGATTATATTTCACCCAGTGTTATTGCTCCTGAATTAGATTCAAGAGGTGGAGATATGCAATATCATACTCAAAGAACATAAGGGTGAGATGGCGTGGTGATACAGCGCACTTGATTAGTCAGGGGATCAGTAATTCAAGTGGAAATACAGATGAAGTTAGGAAGAGGAGCTCACTTTATAATAGTATGCTCTATCAACTCTGTAGTCCATTCACTTCTGCAATTCGTATTTCCTGTTCACCATGAACGCAGTCACACAACAAAGTAAATTGTTTCACC